ATGAGAACGTTGAGATCAGAGTCGATATGCGAGTGAGAACTGCAATCAAAATAAAAGCGGATCGGCCAGATATCAATATACATGATAAGAAGCGACGTGAAGTAATCCTAATAGAGTTTAGCATCACTAGTCAGGACAGGTGGTCGTCAGCAGTCAAGACTGAGAAGAAGCGAAAATATGATTTACTTGCTAATAAGCTTGGGTCAGAGATGAAGTACAGGACCGGTGAATTGGGATGGGATAGTGATGAACTTCTACAAACGCTATGCGAAGGAAATCAGTATATCTGATCACGTCGAGGCATACATCCAATCGATAGGATTCCTCGAGGACGAAGCGAGAACGATGAGTACAACAAATCTGAGCTGGGGGCAAGCATACCAGAGTGCCGGAAGCGGTCCAGCGCCAGAACCGATGAAGCGGAAATTAAAACTAACCTCCACATTTTATTTCATTTTATTAAAGCGAATAATTATTTGTTTCTCCTTATTACCATAATTTTGTACAGTAATTTAAAAAAAAAAAATTGCATCTTCACGTGATATCAGAGCTTTTCGAAAAATAAATTTGCATGCATTTGAATTCGAAACTGTAATGTAAATTTCATTGGTGAGATTATTATGGATATTGCAGTCGTGCCTTTACATAACTAGTCGATATTTGGAGATTATTATTGCTGTCGTTTTTGTTATTGTATGCTATTACAAGTCTAAATGATTTTACTCTCCTGTATTTCTCCAGAAATGAGATGAGCAGTTTAAGTTGCAAGTTTTATGATTCTATACTACTACTATACTTACTTCACAAGTATTTTGATTTCTCATCATTCTTCTCAAATGATAATATAAGTACGTACAATATTTTTCAAGATTTGAGATAGACATGCGATTCTATCTCACAGATGTGTTGAAAGAAGGAATAAGTGAAGGGTTTGTGTGGTAGTTTTGTTACGGAAGATTAGTAGAAAGAAATCAACACATGCTGCTGTCGAGGATTCCACGTCATAATTTTTTGTCTCAATGGAAGAAAAATCACGTATTGTCTGCTTAAGTAATCTAAGCGGGTTTTTTTGATTTTTTTCTTCTATTAATTTCTGCGATAACATTTAAGTCATTTTGTTAATTAATACCAGTTTTCATTTATCATTTATTAGTAAATTGCAGTAGCCAAACTTAATTTTCACAATTTTAATTTTTTTGCAGCTTTGTTCTTCAATTTTACTTTCACTATTTCTGCAAGATTGTGACTGCTTTATTACTATTTGTGTATATTTGACAGAAATTTATATTATTCTAATGGAGAGTTAGTTGAAACATTATAGTGATTATATTATAAAAGTTTAGAATTTTTGACTCTTAATCAAAAAGTGTGTTTTCTCAGATTTTTTTTTATTATTTAAGTTTTATTTTTTTTGTTATATATTATTATTAATATAAATTACTCATCAATTCATCATCAACTTGTTAGGAATAATAAGGATCTAAATTGAGTGAATCAGTCCAAGCTTTCGGTGAATAGCAGCATTTCTCATCATGATTGGTTGATAAATTTTATAAAAAGTTAGTTATCACATATGTAATATGTGTCATTGATATCTCTTATCGTGTAGAATGTATTTGATGTAATTTCCTTCTAAATTCACTGATTGAAGATATAAAAGTTGTCATCTGTGATGTTCTGTTGTCATTGTAATTGATATTTTTGTAATGGCCTAGTAGCATCAATCATGTTTTTTATTGTCCTTAACTGTATATATTACGTAATGAAATTGGTTTATTGAAGCGTAATTTTTAATCGTATTTCAATCATTAATTTCCTAATTTCCAAAAATATAAATGTAAATGAAGTAGTTTAATTGATTTTTTAGGGTTTCTAAAACTGGATGGCTGTGTCTCAGGAATTTTACAAAATTCCGCGGACAATTTTTGACGAAGGTCAGTTTTTAATAATGTTTTACAGCATCATTTTGTTGCATTTTTTGTTTTATCTGTAAAACACGAAATATTTTTTAGCAAAAATCTTTGATAAAGGAAATCGATCACAGTAATTCAAAAAATCGAAATTTTTTTTAGCTTTTTTGATTTCGTTGCAGTTGTAAAAAGGCAGCTAGTATGAAGTAGTTGCTCAAAATTATTCTAATCTCATGAAAGATCTAACATTGTTTCCTCTCTTAAAAAATTTGTTCCGCAGTTTTATTTTCCTATTTCTGCCACGAATAATTAACTTTTTTTAGAATTTGTCCTGGGAAATTTGATTATTCTCTATTTTCCTTTGTTTTTAAATTTGATATGAATTATTCGCTTGTTAAAGTCATGTCATTCTTAAAAAACATTCTTAAAAAATCCTTATTAAATATTGATGTGCAGATTTTACTTATTTAAAAAATTTCGTTGAGTAACAAAGTATAAGAGGTAATCGCTAATGTGTTCCCTGTTAGGTTGAAAGTAATATCAGATTTTTGCAGATAGTACGGACTTGGATGTAAGCGATGAAATGGAAGAGGTTCGGGAACTGATGTATGAACTGATCAAAACCAATTTTTCATCTGGTGTGATGGTTGAGCATTTAGCAAAAATTTATAAAGAAAGGTCAAAAAATTTATCGGCATTTTAGTTGAAAATGTTTTTTATATTCTCTTTAATTCATTGTTAAAAAGTTTTTGTTAGGAATAACATTGAAACTGATGATCTAATTATTACTACTGCAAGAATACTTTGGAGAAAGTTGTTTGCATGAGTAACAAAAATGATTAGTTCTCACATATGTAACAGAGAAATAAAAAGATGGAAATTATTTTTTTTGCAAGCTTTTCGAATTTTCTTTCTCAGTGAAGTAAAGATCTGAATTTATTGTATCTTTTGCAAAAATCATTTTTTTATTTTTTCGCTTCAGAAAGATTATTAAGAAGTTCATGAGTGTTTCGGAGGTATGTATGTATGTCACAATGAAGGTGACAATATTTTTTCGCCTAAAAACTTAGTCAAATTTAATGCGTATCACATAATTTTCAGCAAAAAACATGCTTTTTTCCAGCTATGAAAACCGTGGCTTAGGACCATTGCTTCCTGACAATTGGTTAGATCATATACGAGTCGCTGAAGAATTTGAAGTAGTTAACCGTGGTCCAATGATGATGGTATACACACGTCAGCGTGATGCACCACCACTTATCGTGGAATCTTCTTCAAGTATGTTCTTTACAGTCTTAATTTCTTAAGTTTCATGTATCAGGTAAATTACTAAGTATGCACTGAAATTTTTAAAAGTACTCAGATTTTTCGGATTAAGTTAGTATCATATGATGTTTTTATTTTGTTAAAGAAGTGAGATTTTACTACTTCAGTTTTCTCTTTTTGTCTTGTTTTACTATGTATAGCTTTATTTTTGGAGAAATAATTTTAAAAAATACTCACGAAGTAACTTAACGATCGCATGCAATATACAACGTTAAAGATTTAGGAATGCATTTAAGATATGTAGTAGTATATCGTAGAAAATCTGTCTTTCCTTTTTTTTCACATATTTTTGTAAATCCCTGTTTTGTTGTATGGCGTGTTAACTGATACTATTTTGGAATTATTTTTCAGTAATTAAGTGTATAACTTCTTGATAGAAAACAATTTTGTCTTTCTAATAAAAGACCAATTATGCAAATTTTTTCTCTGAAATGCTTGGGAACTGAAAGTTGGTGTTAATTTTGAGTAAATTTTTTTGACTTACCCTTACAGTTTGCCTTGATTGCTTTGAATCTTTGGTTATTTTCATTATATGAAAAGCAACAAACAAGTTGACAGACTCTAAATTTAGTATTGCTCCGCATAGGTTTCATTACACATTGATCTTCGTTCTGAAGATATTACACTACTTGAAAATCTTTAAATTTTTTAGTGCTGTTTAAAATGTTCGGTTATGAATGTTTAATTTCAATTTCATATTCCGTTTCTAATTTTATCCATCCAAAACTATAATATACTCTAAAGGTTTTTGATTATGATGCCCCATATACAATCAAAATCAACCATCAAGCAGCCCGACATATAATTGTTAAACGATAGATTGCGTAAATCTATGTTCTTTTATTTGAAGTAATATCTACTTTCATCAGCTCGATAGATTATTTATCAGTGGAAGAATTGGAAAAGACTGATAACTTTCACTTAGTTCTGCTCAGCTGAAGTATTTTTGACTTTTGTACATTTCTGATTAATTTTTAGTCTATGACTTTAGTGTAAAGTGTTTAATCAATAAATAATTAGATTGTACAGTGAAAAAGAAATTATTAATTCTCTTAACCATAGGAACTGTTTGATTAATAGAATAAATAGTTTATTTTCATTTCCGGAAAGTAATGAAGTTTTTGAATCTGCAATGCCCTTATTTGACTTACTCTTGATTTTCATCACTGAAAGACTAAATTGGTGCACATAATTTTTACAGATATAACGAAAGGGATTTCATCACCCAAACTGACCGAAACAGTTCGCATTAGACTTACCGATCGAGAATTAGCACAGCAGGTGGAATTTTATCTCGACTCAAAAGTTTTTGTTGCAGTATCTTACGTGGAAAATATCCAGTGATTCTTTCTTGAAGAGTATTATAATTATCATTAATATTATTATTACTGTTATTGTCATTATGCGCCGGAACTGAGACAGAAAATAACTAGTACTTGCTTATTGAAGTAGAAATGCTAAATTGCATATAAGGAGAGACTTTGTGGTGATTTGTTGTTAATCGTTTCTGACTTAACTGCATAACTAGCATTCTATAATTACAACTTCGGAATCTTTAATTATTGCGTTTATTCGAAAGTGCTGGACATTCGTAGAAATATAGTAAAAGTATTCTCAATATAATAGTTGCTCATTTTTAAAGATGAAATCAGTGCTGGCATTCGAACCAATTGTCTGTCCATCGACAGTGAGTGTTATTGTGATGAAGTGTGACGATAACGTGGCAGATATTTACGTTCAGTTAGCTGGCACGAATAATAACTTTGAATTGTTGCGGTCAGCAATGAATTCACATTATGAGGAAAAATCATTCGGTGAATGTGTAGTAGAACCAGAAGTTGGAGGTATTTACGCAGTTCGGGAAGCAGATGGTCATTGGTATCGAGCATTATTGAAGGTAAAACTTTACAAAATATTTTTGATATGTCATCTTTCTAATTCAGAGTTCTATATATATAAAGGCCATTACTTGCATCAGTGATCTGCTGCTACAAATTCCAAGTTTATAGCAGCAGCAAGGCGTTTTCTTCATTAATGTAGGAAGGAAAAAGCATATAACAAATATATGTTCACATGATTTAAACATGCCATTCAGCAATATTGGTTTCATATTTCGTTATTTTTTTTATGGTAGGTTCCAGAAAAATTCACGCTATTGGATGTTGGTCGAGTGATTCCAGTGAAAAATGCTGTAATTCGACGACTTCGTGCGGAATATGCACTTCCAAGGATATATCCCATCTATGCATTCATCGTTACTCTAGACAAAAACTGTAATAATTCTTCATCATTGTGCATTTTTCGTACTGCTTGCCATACACAGCTTCCTCTACCGGTATGGATTTATTGAAGAGCGTCATGTCGGAAAACTAAATTGTTTTAATGTAGAGGCAGAAACTAAGAAATATTATTTCAGAAGTGACGCTTGTGAAATTGGTTTTGGACATGCAATTTGTTATTTTATACGAATATCAGTCTTTAAGACTGCTTGATTTTTGAAGCTTATTTTTCAATAAACTTTCAGTTACGATTCATATCAGAATATATTGAAAATGGTTTAACGAAATATTATGTCCAAAGCTCAAGTATTTGGATAAAAGATCGAAAAAGCGAAGAACAGTGAGTTTTGACTTTGGAAATTTTTCAAGCTTAGATTCAACGAATATTTAAATTCAGACTGGTTCAGTATGAACAGTTCGTATATTTTGTCTATTTCATGATTTTTCAAATTTATGCTCTTGTTGAGCGATTCCAGATTTGTCTTTTTGTGTTAATACTGCATACACTTTCATATTTGTGCTTGAAGAAATAAAAGAATGTCAATTGAAACTAATGCTTTTATTTGTTTGATAAAATTTTTTAAAATTAGATTGTACTAAATTATGATTATTTTGAATATATATGTAGAAATGTGATAAAAGTCATGCCAGTTTCACCACAGTCTTCAATATCTTGTGAAGGAGTGAAATTAGTTGCTATGGATCTTAACGATATGCCTAAGAAGCGTTTTGCTGTTCATGTCTTATCTGTTTTTGACGCTAGTAATATTAGTATACGACAACAGTCATTGGTAAATTTCTTATTAATTTATTTTACCATTTATTTTTTCTGATAATTTATCTAGTTCTTCGAATTATATTCCTTTTGTTTTGAAATTAAAAAAAAAATTAAGTACATTTACTGTAGGATCCGATACCGGATTACATAACAGGTGCAGTTAAGCGAGATTCGCTGTCGCAGACGTCACCTCCACCTTTTAGCGAACTGGTACCAGGTCTTTTCTATGCTGCTAAGTTGCATCCAAATGCGAATTGGGAACGTGTGCAGCTTCTTGGACCAAGTACTGTTGATGCTGATTGTTTTCGTGTTTATGCCGTAGATCTTGGTTTGTTTGGTATTGCTCGAAAATCGAATATACGTTATTTAAAAGTTCCTGTTGGTTTGCGGAAAATTCTAATGGCAAAATGCAAGGCATGTAATTAATTAATTAATTAATCATAGTTTTTTCATTTCGTAACATAAAGTTTATTTAATTTCTCATGATCGGAATTGCATATTTTTATCGCAACAAAGTTTGACTAGCTGATTGAAGTTGATGAATTTGTGTTGTAACTGTTTTCATCTCCTCCATATTTTTTAGCTGCTACCTAAAATAGTCAAGGTGATGAAATCATTATTTAACTGAGTTGCATGTATTGTGGTTTTGAAAAAATTTTCTGAAATTTTATCTTTCTCAAGAAAATGAATTTTTAAATTGTAGTCAATGTTTCATTTTAAAGTTAGCGCGTGTTTGCATGAATACAGTTACTATATATTGTTTTAGATCGCAAATATTAGGCCGAAAAATGATGTTGAGATATGGAGTCGTGAAAGTCAAACATTTATATGTAATCTGCTTTTAAATGCAAAACTGGTGGAAGTAGAACCAGTGGGTAATTGGAAATTAATTGGAGATTCAGGATGTGTGTTGGTACCATCTGTGATTGCACAAATCTTTGCAGATGGTAAAAATGTTGGTGAACTGCTTGTTGAACAAGGTTATGCCAGACGCATATGATATTGGTCTTTCCTTCATATAAATATGCATACAATCTGATTTACTTCATGCAACAAGTAGCAATTCATTTTAGAGTGTGTCATATGGATTTTGGTTGCTCCAATTGTAGCGATCTAGTTATGATATCTGTGCTGCGATCTAGTTATGATATCTGTGCTGTTTAGTTATGATAATCATCAAAATGGTGAGGAATAAGGGAGTTTTGATGAAATAAACAAGGGTTTATCGTGTGTGAATTTTCCTGCTGTACGCAGTATGCAAGGAATGAATTTGTAATGATGTGCATTATTTATATTCATTGATAACGTAGGCAAACTCAAGGATTGATGCATTGATTTGCTTGCCTTTTGGTTTCTTTTTTATCGTAGAATTATACTTTATTGTATGATTTAATCTTCTCTAATTCGTTGTTATGGAAGCATACAGAAGGTATTTAATTTTAGAAGACAGTCAGTCAGGTGCTAGGACTTAGTAGATGTTTAGTAGGCAAAAAAAAGACAGAGAATTGCTTGGACCTTTTTTATGGAATAATAAGCAATGTAATATTGCAAGTAGACAGACTTAAGAGATTGGTTTGAGGTCAGTGAAAGTTGCAAGTATTTCTCAAACTTTTGTTTATTCATTACTAATTTCAATTTTTCAACTATTTGAAATTAGAGGAGTAGGAAGGAGTTATCTTTAATCTGATATTTTGTAGTGAATGGATGAATCGAGGTATATTTATGCCTCGATTCAATTACATTCAAGTCATGAGCAAATACTTGCAGTATTTTCAGATGAAATCAGTCATGAAGTTTAATGCAACTCTCGTGAAGGGAAAATTATGTTTCATCAGTTGTAGACTTCTAGCAATGAATTTTCTTAGAATTTCATGGCATAATTTATTCTTTCATTATTGTAAGGGAATGAAATTTGTTTTTATTGATCGTTCTAACTTCTCTAAATCGGAATTTTTTCATATCAGTTAGTTAATATGAATTCTTGTTTGATGCTAAGAGTTGTTTACCAAATAGATGAGACATTTTTTGGAAATCAGAATTTCTGGGAATATTTAGTTTTAGTGTTGTAAATTAATGTTAGAACTAAGCAGTCTGACGGATACTACTTGGCAGAAAACAAACGTCTTTGCGTACCTGAATTAGAATGAAACTAGGATGACGGAAGAATAAATTTTTTGAATAAGACTAGTGGTATGTTATCATGAGATTATCTGTTCGTAACTGTTGTTAGTTAATAAATTTAGTTTTCATTACATTTACTTTACTTTGCTTGCATAAAAATTATCGTATATTTGTTCAGACCTTACTTATGCTCATAATATAAATGTGCCCTGCGTGCAGTTATTTATACTGTTTCAGTTTCATCGTTAATTTTACTCTTTTACTGCTTACTGTTGTTTAGCCCAATATGACTGTAATACCTTTTTTTGTTAGTGGAAAGTGTGCTTATTTATCTTTTATGTATTTAATTAAAATGAATAAAAATTATCACCTTTACTACCATTAATTTGCATAAATCAATGATTGCGATTGTCATGAAGACATCTTGACAGTAGTTTATGTTAATTTGAACAGGTAATGATTTTATATTCATAATTGACACATTAAGTAATCTATAGGAATACCCAAATTAGTTTTAAAGTAAGGATGGATGAGTTGGATTGCAAAGGTTTTTACTTGTGCAGCTTAACGGACTTGGTGCTTACTTATCGTTTTTCTATTAAGACATTAATGCTACGAATGATATTTTTGATATTGATGACAGTACCATTAACAATTATGTTACTTTGCTTCTCAATTTTCTCACTTCAGAAGTTTGCTGCAGTCATGTGTATTTTCTGTCTAAAGTTGGTTGCTATCAGTGCAGATTGAAAATTTTCATTTCCTTTTCCCTTTGCATCAAATTTAGTATCAAGCCATTATGGAAGCGTTTGTTGGATTAGCTCAAAAGTAATTCACAAAGTTCCAAATATCATTGCAACAGAATGGTTGAATTTTTGAGTTAAAAATTGTTGGTCTGGATCTGAAAACATCAATATTGAGGGCAGTAAAAGAATTTAGATTTTGATCACTTCTAATATTTATTCGACAATTATCTGCAACAAAATTATTCTCTGCAAGTAGTGTAAAATTTGAATAAGTTGAATTTGACAGCATAAGATGGATTGATAGCAGCAAGTTGGGTTTGTTGACTTTATTGAAATTTGATACTTATGGTTTAAGTTAGAAGTGTAATTGCCAGTGCTACCTAATTTACAACGTATGGTATCAAATGTTCGAAAGTTTGGAAATTTTACGCTTATACTACTGCGTGTCACTTTTGTAACTGGATTATATGCTCAAGAGTCAACAAACTGTAGATTTTATAAGTGAGGAAGCACAAGAAATTTTAACACTTGTAGTGAATGAGTAGATTAACATAGACTTTCGTATTTCATGTTTTTATTTAATATGTTAGTGCTCGTTTGCATACATACAAAGGAGGTAATATTTGGAACCATTTTGAAAATGGAAGACTGGTAGGTTATTTAATCATTCTGTGTTGCGTATAAAATTATTATGCGTATGTATGAAGTAATCTCTGTTAATATTTAATTTGGTGATAGTTCATATCATATAATCAACTTTGTTGTCACTATTGTGCCCATTTCAACTTACTCCTTATAGACGCAAAAATTTTTTGTTCCTCCTCACTTTTAACATTTGTGGTTTTTTGCTCTTAAGCACATAATTCAATTATAGAAGTAGTAAGCAATATTATGAGCGTAAACTTTCAAATTCATTTGACGTTTTGTAATAAAATCATTTACAGTATTTAGCGTTGGTGGTGCAAAGGGGGCACGCTCTTTTTATTAAATTTGTATTATTTCACTTTTACATTTTTATGATTGAAGCAAAAACGTAGTAATTATAGTTATTGGTATGCTCAGTATTGTTTTTGTTTTGAGTTAATGAGTTAGTAATAAGTTAGACCGATAAGTGTAAAAAGATAAAATATAAAATTGCTATAAGCAGTATTAGCACATGGCGCTTTTATTACTATAATATTGTTATTGCATATTAGAAAAAGTTGTTCAGTGTTTTCAGATCATTTTGAACAAAAGATAGCTATTAAACTTCAAAATATTATTCAAAATATCATAATTGCAGTATTTGTTTTTATATCAGTGCTTTATTATCTTGGCACAGTTGCAGTTTAAATTTTAAACATTTTATGCGAATTTCAGACAAATGCGATTGCGGGTTGATGTATGTCGAGCGATAGTGCTAACTTCTCTAGTCTGGATGCTCCTTGATGTAACTATACTATTTTATGTTCTCGACACAGGTACTACTAAAATCGCGACAACCAAGTTAGCTTTACTTTTTTATGCGCAAGGTTTTTTATTTGCATGTTGCCACTTATGTTACTTTTGTTCATTTAGGTTAAGGGCGGAGATTATATCTGGTTAAATGTTCATGAAATCTTAGCGCAATCGTTTTTTTGTCGCACTGACTATTATTAATTTAATTTTTTCATTTATAAGTTACTTTCAAATAAATATGAGTAGATATTGATGAGTGATGAAGATTAACCGTATTTGTCAAAAGTGGATAAAAGTGAAGGTGCCGATTGTGTGGATACCAGTTTTGGTACTGAAATTCAAGCATGTGAAATGGCAGTGTAATATTCAGTTTAAAAAAAGTATGGATGAGATATTGAGATTTTTAAAGTTCATGTTAAATTAATTTGTCATTTACTCAGTCAGTTTAAGTAGTTTAGAACTACAAGTTATAAAGTATGTTGCAACTTTCTTGGCTACATAATGCTAAAATTTTGGGTTGGATGGTTAATTTTACTGAATTTACAATGTATACCAAATATTTGATTTAAATTATTGAGTTTATTTTTACTTTTTTGTATATATGATCTCATGAGATATGATCATTTGTCTTCAAATTTTGTTTTAATAAAACTTTTTATAATTATGTGACTAGGTTGTTCCACTACATGAAAGTTTCTTTTTTTGTTTCAGAGCTGCATTGAAATTACGAGGTGATCGTCGCTCTGATGATGATTTTAGGACAGATTCGAGAGATTTTGTTGATCAAGAAGTAGCAAATGAACTAGAAAAACTGCTTAAAAGTTTGTTATCAATCTATTTAGTTTAGTAAATAATGCTTGATCGTTATTTTGTTTAAGTTAAATGATGACAAAGATTGCGTTTTTATATATGCATATGGATATCTGACTGACAACAACAAAATTCACGTATCGTAAATCTTTGCATTAATATTGTTTCAAAGTGTTTTTCACTCTTTCAGATTTAACATTTGAAAGGAATGGACCAGGTGAAATGGGTAGTGCAGTAGTCATTGATAAATCCAGGCAGGAAGAGCGCGATCGAAAATTCAAAGAAAATCAGTTTGATGTAATGGCTTCAGACATGATATCTATTAACAGGACATTACCCGACTATCGCTCATCAAAGTTAGATATACTATATCAGTTATATCAGTCATATTTTTTTATATATATGAAAAGTTAAGTCTCAGATGTTTATAAAAATGTATTTGAAAACAGCAGATTTGTTTGAAGATTAAAATAAAATGAATACTGTGTCAGAAAAAATTCATTGAGTGTTTGAATTATATATGTTAAATACGAAGTTTTCTTTGTAATTAGTACCATTTTAGGTGTCGTGAAGTTGCTCGAAAATATAACACAGCTAATTTTTCTCCTACATCAATAGTAATAGTTTTTCATAATGAAGCATGGAGTACACTGCTTCGTACATTACATTCCATATTAAATCGAAGTCCACGTTATCTGATCGAAGAAATTGTTCTTATTGATGATTTCTCTAATCGAAGTTTGTTTTCCCTATTCGTAAACTTTTTTTTTGTTTTTTTAGCTGAACTATCATGATGACGGAAAAAAAAGTGCTGCTATAATACCGCAAAATTTGTGGATAAAAGTCAAATTAAAACGTTCTCAAAAGTTAACAAACAGTTTTTTTGTTGTTTTTGGGTATTCCATATTTATTTTAACAATTGCAGCGTATTTGCAAAAGCCTCTTGATTTGTATATCAAAAGATTCCCACTTCCCGTTCATCTTATTCATTTACCAGAACGTTCAGGACTTATTCGAGCACGTTTGCATGGTGCAAAGGTTGCAAAAGGAAGAGTATGTCTCGCAATTTTTATATCATCCGAAATCTAATTAAGTATAATTTTAGGACTGCTTCATATTAGCATTTTTTTAGCTTATAATTGAATGAACGTTTTAAGAAGATTTTCAGATACTGTAACTTGAAATATGATTATTGTATTCACTTTAATTCTAATTACTGTATTTGGGTTAACATTTCATAATTTGAGGTTCTCGTGTTTCTCGACGCACATGTAGAAGTGTCGGAGGGCTGGTTAGAACCGTTGCTTGACCGTATATCAGCAGATCGGAAACGTGTCGTAGCACCAATCATTGATGTTATTTCAGATGAAAATTTCGAATATATAACAGCGTCTGATGTTACATGGGGTGGTTTCAATTGGCATCTTAATTTTCGATGGTATTCGGTAAATTAGTTATTTTATTTTGGTTAAATATCAATCTCTTTCCTTAAAAACTTAAAGTTAAAAAAAGTGAGTCCCATTTCAAAGACCCGAATAAAATTGCAAAATGCCTTTTTTTCTAGAAATGTATTAGCTTCATTATTAGGTACCAATGCGAGAAATGGAGCGACGTGGCCACGATCGTTCAATTCCTCTGCAGTATGTTATAAATTTGTGCAGTAATTTGTTCTCAAATTTTACTACCAATTATCTACCAAAGTAGATAATTGTTATAGCAGTTTTAGAATATGCTGCTGTAATTGAGTCCAAGCTAATTTTCTCTTCCAAATAAATTCAGAACTCCAACTATTGCTGGAGGATTGTTTGCGATTGATCGGCAATTTTTCTACGACATCGGTTCATATGATGAGGGAATGGAAGTTTGGGGTGGCGAAAATCTTGAAATTTCTTTTAGGGTAACCTTCATATTTGATGAAAATTTCTATCTTCAGTTGATAGTTGATTAATCTTTTTCATATTAATACTTCTATCATTGCGAGAAATTATGTCTATCAATATAAATCAATTTTTGAAAAATTGTATTTATTTTTAGTATCGAATAAAAAATTTTTCAAGGTTTGGATGTGTGGTGGTAGTTTGGAGATTCACCCTTGTTCTCGAGTTGGCCATGTATTTCGAAAACAAACTCCGTATTCTTTCCCCGGTGGTACTGCAAAAGTGATTAATAAAAATGCTGCTCGTACTGCTGAAGTGTGGATGGATGAATATAAGGAAATATTTTACAGCATGGTGCCAAGTATGTTTCATGCACATTGTTTAAATAAATAAAAACTAGTCTTTTTATCGTTAATCAATGCGTCGTATGTGTGATTAGCATATTTCTTATGTAAAAATAGTAGAATGTATTTGGTTATTTGCATTTGTTCATTTTCATGAATGATAAAGTATTTCAGTGCATGCGCTAAATTATGAAGAAATTTGGTTTTTCTCAATATCAGTTTTAGCAGTTTTACTGCTTGGATTTTAAATAAGACCACATAATCAATTTTCAAAATTAATTGTTTAAGATTTGATTAGTTTTTATGACAGGAAAAGAGTGAATGGATTGTAAAATTTCTCCCCTCCTTCTAGCGACTCTTCATTTATTGCTAAGTGATTTATGGTTATATTGGTATTTCTTTTTCAAAAGAAATTTATTCTCAGAAAGTAAAAAATAAAACTAGCAAATTTATGTATTTTATAAATTAATGTAACTCTTTCAGTTGCCAGAACCATAAATCTTGGAGATTTAACAGAGAGAAGAATACTGCGGGAAAACTTACAATGCAAAACTTTCCGATGGTATCTTGAGAATATTTATCCGGAATCTACCATTCCAATAAATTTCGTCAGTTTAGGACAGGTATCATCTTAAATTTATTCAAGAATTATCAGTACTTGTAGGTTATTGCAAACAGAGTACTCATATTATTTGTTTTGTGTAGATTCTTTATGTTCATTCTGTTGATATCATTTTTATTTTATTATTTTGCTTCTGTGTATGCGGTTAAATTGCAATATTATGGATTTTGCAGATAAAGAATGTAGCAAAAATGAAATGCATGGATACAGTAGGTCGACCATTTGGAGAATTTCCAGAACTGTTCCCTTGCCATGGCAAGGGCGGTAATCAGGTTTGTAATTTTTAATCAAATGTTTAGATGAAGAGAAATTTTTTTTTAAACAGACAACTTTTAATTATAAGTTTTTTTATGAAACTGAATTTTCCACGAGAATGGAATTGATTTAATTACCACTGGCGTTTTAATTACTACTGACTTTGGTAATTACTTGAGAAAAATTTTTGAAAAAAATAACTCACTTTAAAAAACCATCTAGGTACTACTAATTTGGTTTTTTGTTTATATTTTAGTAGATAATTATGATTGATTTGTGAAATATTTAATTCTCTATAAAGATAATAGTTTTGAACAAAGTTAAATAATAAGATGTAAATTATGTGGATGGCAAAATGAGTGAGGATTACATTAAATTCATGGTAGTTATGGTCATACACTGCAAACAATGAAATTCGCTCAGATGAAACTTGCATCGGGCTTACGGAAAAAGGTATTACAATGAAAAAGTGTTCGTCTTCTGAACCATCAAAGGATATGTTGTTCGACTATAATGCAATAGTTGGTCTTTCAGTGAAAATAATTTTTCTATTAAGTGATCGAACAATAATATTTGGAAATATCTAAGTGTCATGAACAATGTTTTCGAATGTAGCTAGAATTCCTTCTACTTTACAATTTTTTATCCAGTTTAATCACAAAAAATTGATGATATTATTTTATAGTCGCTTACGTTGAAGCATCGAAAAACTGGTTTATGTTTGCAAGCAGTTGAAACGAAAATAGAATTAGGTTTTTGTGTTGATGATGAGGACAGCCAAAAATGGAAATTAGGAGGATTCAGTCCGCAGAAATTGTGAATATCACTACCAAGAATTGATTGCTGCTTTGTGGAAAACGTACATGCAGTATGCTTTCTTAAAGATGTTCATTAAAAAAATAATTCCGTTTCATTTGTTATAATTTATCGTCAATTTCGTTCAAATTTCTTTCAAAAAATATACGTGTGCTTATGGTATTATCTGATCTGTGTACGGCAATATGCAACGGGAAATTGATTTTTCAAAAAATATTCTGTTAATATTTGGGATCAATGATGATCAACTTTTTAATCATTGATTTTGCATGCAGTTGCTTTTAATTTTTTAGTTAATGGAATTTCTAGTTTTATAGTAAAAATATTTTCTCGCAAAGTATGTGAATTTCACAAATATAATATCATTCTGTAACACAATAAGCGATTCCTGGAAAGTAAAAAGTTGACTTTATGAAATTATAAGTTTGGAAGGAATTATTGCCGTTCATTTTGTTCATATTCAAGAAGCACTAGTTTCATCACATTAAATAACTTCATTATTGGAACATTATTACTCCACTTTCTGAAATTAGTCTTACATTTATAACTTTGAGTAAAACTTAACTTTTTTGTTGCAGAAGAAATAGCATAGCATTATAATTACTGTATTGTTGCTTGCTAAAGTGCCTTGAATTTATACAATATTTATAGAGTATTTAAATATTCTACAGCAGTTTTTGTAATTTACCTATTATTAAGGCAAGTAACACGGTTTATTTCTTTGTGCTGTAAGTTTTATTCTTATTGTACATCATCAAATGGTTGTGCTGTATATTATTGGTCTAATATTTATTGCTGTGTCATATCTCACATATACTGCGACATAATAATTTCACTTGCTTTAAGTATTTAAATGTCTATCTGATATTTTCCATTATTTGCATCAAAATTTCTAGTTGCAAAAAATGAAAAATTATAGTGCTTTTGGGTGTCCTTAGAAGGCAATCATTGTTTGTGATTCTGAGGGGTTGGTAGTTTGAATTCTCATTGCTTGTATAATACTTCTCAAATACATGAAAACTGGAACGAAAACTCTTTTGATTTTCCCAGAGCTTAGCAGAACGCTCGATTCTTTAATCATGAAAGACATGACCTTTTCACTCTCTAAAGCAAAGTAAGTGAGTGGTACTTATATTGCTTTGCAACTTTTATACCTCGTATCTAATAAATAATTATTCTGGACAAGATATAACATTTTCATTTGGCGGTTACGAGAGCTATGCATTCATTTTGATTGATTAATTTTATACTGTAGGAGGTTTAAAGAAATTTCGGGGGTGGAAAACTGAGCAATCATTTGGTGAAATGGAAGCAAACTTGTAGAAGTAAACATTTGATGTAAAAGCAATGGGAATAATGTTGTCGATCTCAAGGCAATTTCTTACCAAAAGTCCAAAGTCTCTTGCTAATTTTCTGGTTTAGATTTCTATTTTTTTTTTTTGAATATAAACACATGATAAGAGTACAAGTCGTCATGCAGCTCAACGTCGCTCACTATTCATGCAGATTGATTCTTTCTAATCAATACTTTTGAAAATGGCAACAGTAGATGTATTAATGAATTGCTATTTCAGTGATCTCTAAGATTCTTACTAGTCTTTGTTCATAGAGATGGAACTATGGTACAATTACAAGAATGTAATAACGGTTCATAAGCAAGATTCTCTTTTTGAAAAATCGCTGGTATAATTTTGTGTTGCGTTCAGAAACAATAAAATCAACATAGGTAGTCATAATAGTGTCACTTGTAAATAGCATGAATATCACTTCTGAATAATGAATTATATGCAGTTAGTGTATTATTAGCTCTGGTGGATCCCATAATTGTCGAATTTCGATTATTTGAAGAATTTACAAGAATAAGTTGTATGGAAAAAGGTTGGTGCGCAAAAGTGTACTTAATGCGCAAAATAATTCCTCTTGGAGTTCGGAGTAGCCCTCGCGAAGGTAACAATTATTAATCACTTTTTTCGCAGAGCAACTGCGGATTAGTCAAATTGCGCTAGTTCTCAAGAAGTAATAAGTTAATGTTACAAACTTTTTAAGGCAGGAAATCACATCTGACGAAATCGCCAAAGACATTTTTGTTGGACAATTTCACTTCAACAGTGTGTTGCTTCCCGACTTGTAACCAGAATAAAATTCCAGATCTTTCAACTTACGCGAAATCAATATACTCATCAATTATTAATTACTTCGACTGCTTAGGACTTCGCAGCAAAATTTACGAGACATTCTGTATCAAAAATTTTAAGCATATTTCCAAATACCCATATTCTTCGCACGTTAAGTCAGTAACAATATGAATGGAAGAATTAAAACTCGGAAAGTCTCCTCCACATCAATTGTGTACTCAATTAACCTCAATCTTTATGCCTTGTAAAAAAATATACCAGCTTCGAAAATATGAATTACAGACACATAAATGTACCATTAGTTTTACTGTAGTTGCATTCCTACAAATCTTATAATTAAACACACTGCAAATACTTACAAACCTTTTTATCATTTGACACTTGTTTACCAACCTTATTATAAGTTTCAACAACATCAATCAAAAACATATAGTTACTAGTAAACCTATCTACCATCTATATTCTTCATCTTATTATATTTTTAATATCGACCATTTATATTTCCTAGCTTATTATTCCCAGCTTAATCATCATATATTAAATACAGAAACTTCTGAGAAACATAAACTTGTTACATGTATAAAACTTGTTCTATCAAACTACACACTAGTTTGAAGAAACCGCCAACTTTCACAAAATATGCACTAAACGACCTTTACTCGCTGAAGGCTTATATTATGAACAAGTTTACCTTCTGTAAACACTTTGTCACAGACAAAATGCTTACGAAATACAAACTTATCCAAAACTAAAATGAACCCATAATAAGTCATATTATAAAACTAGCAGAGCAATACTCATTTTAAACAGGCACACGATATGTTCAAGGAACTTATAATTTCAAGCCTAAATGGACAAATATTTGCTTTGAAATGGAGCTCATCTTACGAAACTTAAGTATTTTACATACAACTTTATAAAACATAAAACGATATCTTCAAAGTCACTTTTTTCTTTACATAACAGAGTTGTGACTTCTATACACGATACACGAAATACAAAAAAGCTAAATGCGAAGGTGCCAACTAATGAACATTCGAAACATGCTCTTTTCAACAATACCTGCATGTTTCACTATAGTAATATTAATATTCAAAATCACAAATACTTCAGAAAACTTCAAGGTAATATCTCTCGGAAACCGAAAGAACTACCATTTTTAGATATAATCATTCAGACAAATTGTTTGTTAGTAGAGGTCGCAGCAGTAGGTTGTTGGCATTCTTTTCGTTCTGAAAGTGGAATACTTGACTAATACAACAATTTACTGAAACTTAAATACTGAAAACACGTCATGACTTCATGGAAAGTTAAAACCATTAAAGTGCTAACCGTATTGCTGCAGATTCACTTGACCCAGCTGTGTTGATAAAGATACGACTGACATCATGGGACTTCGGCGAGGAGTACTTGTCGGTCGAATCTTTAAAGTAGTTTGAGCAATTTTCTAGTTATAAGTTATCTCTCAGAAGAATTTTAAATAAAAGCACAAGTTTACTTCAGAATTCTGCCAGCCACCAATTATAGTTTCATCGTAAAAGCACTGCTGTGGAGTTTGAGGTGTTATTGGCTGAGGCACTAGCTGAATAGGATTCGGTGCCGGTAGAGCAACTGCAGTCGCTTGTCCAGTAGCATCAACCTGGAAAGCAAGAAAAACATGAAAACTAGGCAGATATATCTAATTTATCAGATGAATATGGAAGATTTTATCAGACAATTACTTGATATAAATCATGCATAACAATGGCTACTAAAGGTGTACATTTGTAACATGAAAATCGTTA